TCCTCATCATCATCATCATCATCATCCTCATCATCATCCTTCATCCATTCATTCATTATCACAAATGTCAGCTCTGTCAGCAGCAGTAGTAGCACAGTTCTATATGACACGGCCATTTTGAGTTGATAAGGCCATGATGTCAGATAACAAATATTCTTTCTTCTCTATGAAGATCGTAAAAGACTATTCAAGATATACAGAAAAATTGCCCTCGAAAAAGCTTGTTTTGGAAAACTGAAAATTAATATTTGATATCAGTTTTCTCAAAACTAGGCACATATAACGTTGTAATTCAAGGGTAACGAACAGAAGCAAGCAGCAACATCAAGCAACAAGCAGCAGCATGCAGCAGGGGCAGCAGCAATGACTTTAGCAGTTGCAGTAGCAGTACCAGTTAGTAGCAGTAGAAGAGCATCAACAAGGCTTTTTAATCTCCTTCTTTATCACCACTAACACCTTTATTCACATTCCTTTCACTTATAACTGCAAATATTGTTTTATTTTGTTTTTCTTTGACTCGTTATAGAAAAAACAAAATGTCCAAACATTCTTATCATTTACATTTTTAGGGAAATATTTTCAACCATTGCTTGTCCAACACAAAAAATATCCCTCTTTTTTCTTTGTGAATAACTTTTGATTCCGTTTATCTTGAGCCTTATGATTTTAAATATATGGCAATTCTGTTTTGACTTTCTAAAGCAATTTTGTTTTTTTTAAATAACTTTTTCCCCTGGCCCAATAGGCTTTTTCTACGCATCCGTCTAAGGTTGCAAATCAACATATTATTTACCGTTCAGTTCTGGAACACGTTGCATTATAACCTATATTTAAATAAATGGATTTTGAATTGGACGAGCTATAGTTTTACGAGACGTTTAGTACCTTTAAAAAAAGGAATCAGGTACAGAATAGAAAAGTATCAAAGCGCAAAACCGTTCGCTATCGCTGATGGCAACCCCAGCCCCACCCCTCTCCAGCGTAAACACACACACACACACACACACACACACACACACACACACACACACACACAAACACACACACAAACACACTCACACTATTCAGCAATAACCTATTATATTCTAGAAGTCACTCACCTCTCCCAGAAATGGGTACAAGGCCACCCGTCTCACCTGCAACACACACACACACACCCTATTATTCACTGTCGCGCACTGCTGTCTGTTATATTGCCCCGATCTCTCAGTTGCAAGACAATAAATGCAAGTCCTGAGCAAACAGCAGCCCAGAATTTTTCGGCCTTTCACATAGATCTAAATGAGATGTCACAGAGCTAGAGAAAAAACAGATCATCAAGTCAGCCTTTTGAGCGAGGCGTGACCGTCATATAATTGAATGTTGTAAAGAGGAGGAAAGAGTCGCATTAGCTGATTTTAGAACAGAATACCCCACCGTGAGGTAGATAAAGCAAGACACGGTGATAAGAAACTGTGTGTCTTGTCAGTACACGCACTGTTGTTTACCCCCTACTGACTGAAGTGTCTTTAGGCCATTCCCAAAGGGGGGATATTAACATGTTCTCAAACACATTAGAATTGTAATGGGCAGATTTATTAATGCCTTATGCACAGTAGCAATTTTAAATAGGCTGATTCATGGATGTCATGTATTGTGCCTGAACTGCAACAGGGGACTGCTGCTTTTTCTTTCCTAATCCTTACTATCGTCATTTTTCCTCTACTTCTGTTGTATGCTTGTCACACTCTTGTGACCCGCTATTTCCGGGGTGCCTTGATAGTCGTAACAGACTTTGTGCTGTTGAGGCTAGAGAGCAGGTGAGCAGAGTAGGCCCAATTCCCAGTCAGGACTTCTCTGTTGACATCCACCCCTTAGGGCTCATATGACCTTATGCAGTTGCGAGCGCCGTAAAACAAATACTAAAACTCAAACTAAAGCACTGTTGAAACAGTAGAGCGTGTTTGACCTGAACGTCTCTTTTCATTGTGATGGGAACCTTTACTCTTGAGAAGATGTATAACGAGTCTGAAACACCTTCTTTAGAAACAGAATTTGGCACTGTGTATGTTCCAAAGTGCCAAATGATGTAAACTTTGAGAGAGAGGGAGAGAGAGAGAGAGAGAGAGAGAGAGAGAGAGAGAGAGAGAGAGAGAGAG